AAGCAAACCACATTATCACGACCCATTAGTATTCAACCCAAACGCAAAAGCCTAAACAGCACTTTAGACTCACAACATGACACACAACATACTGTAATATCTTCACCCTTAACTCAACCAACCACACAAACACAACTTCCTGAACAAACAAACGCAATAAATACAAGTAACGCAACATGCACTACAAAGACGCCCTCACTCAATAAAGTTACATGGCCTAGCACAGCTAAAAAACACAATACTCTTGCTTCTCAGAAACACACCACGTTATCACAACCCACTCGTATTCAACCCAAACGCAAAGTCAAAGAAACACTTACACAATAAACTCCATTTAATAAAATTACAGGAATTATTATAATGATTTTTTTTGTTTTGTTTTGTTTTCCTCTTTCCTGATAGCGTTGGCTATTGTGCCCATCAATAGGTATGTTGGTAAGTACGAATTACATACTATCCCTAGATGTCCAATGTACGTGTGTGATTTTTTTTTTAAGGACCCTACATAACTTCACCAGACACAGACACAGACACTAATCGTTACTTGATTTTAATCCGTGCGATTAGTTAACCAGGCTAGACCTGAGTTCTCACAAGACAACACCGACCATAATAATAATAATAATAATAGTGCCTTTATTGCAGTGAAAAGAGTTCTTTGTAATACAAAAATATGTAGAGGTGAAGTTCAGCGAATGCTGCTCTTCCACTTAACCTCTAGGTTTAATTACAATAAGTAAACTTTGCAACGTCAAACATAGATTAAATATGCTGTACATGTGTGCGAATCTTTAATGGGGTAGTAAACAATATAGAACCATAATGTAGATTGGTAACATTTCAAAAAGTACACACAGATAAAATTAAAAAAAAAATAATAAAATAAAATAAAATTGGATCCCGGTAAAACGCATTGCTAACAGAGGGTGTTATTTTGGCTATCCAGAAGGTATGACTTAAGTTGTTTTTTAAATCTCACTCCGTCTAATTCTCTTAATTTGGCGGGGATATTGTTCCAACTTACCGCGATGTTGTACGAAAAAGATCGTCTTAACATGGAGGTGTTATGTTTGGGGGTTGTTAATAATCCACGAAATCTTAGATTTAGATTTAGATGTGTATCAGTCCTAAAAGTAATTTGGAATATAAATACGGAGCGGATTGTGACTTAATAATTTTATTATATAGACATAAAGGGTGCAAATCACGTCTATTTCTCATGTTAAACCAATTGGCACTAATAAGTTTATTAGAAATGCTATGAACAGTTCTGGGCACGCCATATATCAGCCTCAAACAGGCATTTTGGGACACGTTGAATACGTTGTGTGTCCCTCTGGTCTAAATAGGGTCCATATATTACATCACAATAATTTAAGTGCGATAAGACCAAAGATTCACATAACGTTTTCCTAAGGCTTGAATTGAGAAAGTCCTTATTTTGATAAATTAGGCGTAGGTAATGAAAACCATTTTTAATACATTGATTAACGTGAGATTTAAACCTTAAATGGCTATCAATAACCAAACCTAAGTTTCTGATCTTTTGGCATACTTCCAGATTCCTACCCTGAACCTTTGAATATAAATATTCAAAGCCTGAACGTTAATCTTTACATGTGGAAGCGTTTCTTTATAAAAGTATTCACTGCATAGCAACATCACTTTGGACTTTTTCGGGTTTATTTTTAACGAATGTAATTCAACTAAATGCACAAACGATTGTAGATTTCTGTTTATTATATCGCACGCTTGCTTAACGTCACGTGGAGGAAAAGAATAATACATTTGGGTATCATCTGCGTACATGTGCATGCGCAAGTCCTTGATACAGCCTCCAATGCTTGAAGTATAAATCGCAAACAAAATAGGTCCTAGAATGAATCCTTGCGGAACACCGCTGGTGATATCCACATATTTGGATTTATTATTCTTGTAGACTACGGCCTGTTTACGATTAGTCAAATAACTCTCAATGAGTGAAATTGATTGAAGGAACAAACCACAGTGTTTGAGAATGACCAAAAGCAAAGCGTGGTCAAGAGTGTCAAATCAAGCAGAACTAGGATTGTGGCAAGTTGTTTATCTATTGCTGAGAAAATATCGTCGGTGATTTTAAGTAGCGCAGTGACTGAACTATAAGCCGTTCGAAATCCTGATTGGTGTTCAGGCAAAATATTGTGAGTTGTTAAGTAGCTTCTTAATTGTGTATCCATAATACGTTCCATGACCTTAGACAGCCCTGGAAGAATCGAAATTGGCCTAAGGTCTTTGTAATCGGAAGCGTTATGAATCTTTTTTAGAGGTAAGACGTGAAATTTTCCAATCAAGGGGAAACTGAGAACTCCTAAAGCCGAAGTTAATTACGTGCGTAAGTATAGGTAATAAGTGCGGTAAACAAAGTGTTACCATGGTGACATTAAGTCCATCAATTCGTGGGAGTGGATAGCAATCTTTCTTAGTCACGTCATTGAGTCGACTATAGTAAGGATTATTGCAAAGCATTATTATTGTTTACGGTTTTCTACTTGTTGTAGAACCCCTGTAACATTTGAGGCGAGTTGATAGATAGTCTCATCTATTGAAATTTAATCACGCAGAAATGATTCTCTCTTTCTCTCTCTCTTATCTAAAAGGTAGGTAAATTTTTATGCCATCAAAGAAGGTTTAGGGTTGAAGTTCCATACACGTTTTATGTTACATACTGAAAGGTTCCACCCTGTATATACAACTTCCGACGATACATACATTTTTGACAGTTGACAACCATGCAATTTCTAGGTGGGAAAAAGCTGCCTGCGCCATCTAAAAAGCACGAACGGGGGTTACATTGATCATCTTGTCTTGAATGGCGGTCGTGAATGCGTAGCTCCAAAAATGTTTCTTGTTATTTTGGGTTATTTAATGCAGGTAGTAATTTTTGCATTTTTTTATATCGTATTTGTGTTCTGTATGCCGCATTTTATATTTTTTGTGTGTTTCAATCTTTGTTTTTGAAGTTTACTTGATTTAACCGCACCGCAATTCAGAATCATGTTTAATACCGTTATAGTATTGTTTATTGATGTTGATTACTTGGTCTTGTCCCTTTATTTTAATATGTGGAAATTACCGATTTGATGTATGTACTGACTTGTTGTTTGTTACTAACAATTTTCTCCGTGAATGAAGCAGTCACGGGGGTGGTAAAAACTGTAGTCAAATTTGAGCTACGACACCTAATTCCGTGATTGTCTTCGAGATTCTACTGTAAGCTCGAAACCCCGACTGCTACCCATCTTGCAGGAGCGGGATTACGCTAATCAAAGCTCTTCAGTTCAGAATCTATGTGCGATAAATGAGTGGCGATTCAATAATTTCCACATATCTTGTTTTTAGTTAAATTTGCCTATAAGGCCAGGTAATTTTCCATTTTGCTTTTAACAAAAAGACTTTATTGCACCAAATATGAGTCACATCCTGTGTATTTCACCCTTTCTTAGAATCTTGGTACCTGCTTACCTGACCCATAATTCCGAAACATGTTTTTAACCTATATGTTACTTCTTAAAGTTTACCTGCTACTTTTTGTGATGGTATAATTTTATGTTACGCATTCACATCATTACAAACAATTAATTTTACAACACAATTTTATATTAATTTGACGGCTGGTTTTTTTATTGGTAAGTTCTTTTTTTCCCAGCCTATTTCCATTTTTATTCGGTGAACTACCATTTTCAAAGTTTATTTTTGCAATGTAATTTATTTTGGACTTAAATTTCCGAGCTTTTACAGTCATAATATTTTAACCAAATACGGGGCGCCATTATCGTTCTTGTCGCACCGGTATCTACTATGGGCAATGGTTTCCATTGACTAAACCGTCTACACAAATCGAACCATTAGTATTGGGTGCAGAGACGAGAGAGTGGGTTCTTGAGCCAGGAGGTCGATATTTGCCCCTTTTCATCGACGTTCAGCAGGTCTTTCATTGATCCTGGAAATGCCCAATTTCTCCGCAATTCCAACAACGGAGCTGTTTCTTTGTTTCCATAGCATTGACAGACTGCTATTTAAAGTTGAATTTTTTTAGGTTCCCCTCACTAACTGCCAATCTTACAAACCTAAAAGACATTTAAGTCCCAACCAAGAGAATTGATGTATAATTGAAAATTCCTACGTTACAATATGACATTAACCATTATGCCTGAAATGTGCAATAAAGGCCACTTTGCATAACATTCCGGTTCCAGTTCACGATAATGTAAAGTTGCTGACATTTTCAGGAAACGTTATTCTGTCACCACAAGCAACGAAAGGTAACATGAACAGAACAGAAGCTCGAGTTTAATGCTAAAAGTTGTGGGAATTAAATACTTTAGAAGGCAATTAACTAAACTGAAAAATTGAGTACGTGTTTCGCACATTCCTGTGACGCCTAATTAAACATTCGTCAAACAGTAAAGTCTCTCGAATTCAGAAAACTCGCAGAAATGAATATAAAATGAGATTTGGATTAGAGAAACTTCGTGACATTAAAAAGTATCACCAGCAGTTACTAAAAATAGTACCAATGATGTCGCGAATAACAGAACGATTTATTCCCGTTAAAGGGAACACATTCGTTTCGACACAAATATATTCCAGAATAAATTTTCGAAATCCAAGCACGGAAAATTCGTCATTGTCAATACAATTATCGTTTCACCCTCATCTTTCCACGAAACTGTCATGTAAGAGCCCATTTTTTGGGTAAGTAGAGAAATTCGTAGGCATAATTTATAAAATTTCATAACCAACTTGTTAACTTAATTTAAAATTCTCTTTTTATGCAAGCTGAAGCTAATTGAATGTTAATTAACCTCCAAGTTAACAGGGCACCGCATTAATTTCCAATTTATGTTTAATCTAAATTAAGAGCTTATTTTTTTGTGTGTCTGAGCCATATAAACCCTGTACCCGCATCGACCTACTAAAGGAAAATTAAATTTGTATTCTAAAATGGAAATGGATCTTACCTTTATAGGATTTGTGACGTTTGCGAAAGTTAATTCGGATTCTTCCCCGTTAAGCATAATGGAAACTGATTGCTCCCCAAGCGCATCTGAAAGAAAATACATTGGATTAAAATTACATGAGTAACAAATAAGACTTCTATAAAACATCCTGCAATGCGCCAATACGCCCTGAAATGATTTTTGTGTTAATTGAATGGTAATGTATTTTTAATGAATTTTAGGAAACAACTGCGTCTGCTCTGTGCTGCGATGCGTCCGGGCGTTTGTAATTAACACTCTTTTTCATTAGTCCGATTTGGCGCATTTGTTGTTCGGAAACTATTTTTTTAGGTATCCATTTTTCCGAACAGAAGCGCCCGATACGTTCAATTATAGTCAGATTGAAAAAAAAACAGATAAAAAAAGGCTGTCGGTTAATAAAAGCACCAAGTATCGATATACCTTAGGACAGTATTGAACTACCTTAAACCGCAGCAATGGTTGCTCAAATTCCCAAGGCAGTTTAAGGGTGGGGGGTTTTAAAAACTCTCGAGGAAAATATTTCTGAACCCTCTGCATCGGTATACAACAACGCCAGTGTGCACGGAAAATTGTACAGGAATTTTGATTTAATAAGACTGCACAGTGCATAAGCTACATATAGATAGGTGTGTGAAAGCATATGTCTGTTTTGGCATTGCAAGTTGATATTTTATTTCACCCTAATTTATTTAACATAATCGCGGTTAGAAATGCAATTTTATTTCAGATCTTAATAGAATAAAATCATAAATACTGCTTTACGTTTGTATATTGGAATGAGGTGATTAAATGAGTTACTGTAATAAAATGAAAGCGAGTAGAAATAATTAAATACGTATGAAGTATATAAACCATTCGTCATAGCACAGATTTATAAATCTGTGGTCATAGTAGGATAAGTGCAAATTAATTACAGTAGATACTAAGTGAAGGGATATAAATATAAGTGAAAATCGTGTGAGCAAAGCATTGGTTCACGGGCAGTCTCAGACGCCGAACTTGCGCCAGTCATTATTTTGAGCGGCATGTTGGGGAAGAGAACGAGATTCTTGGAAGTTCCCAACCGCGGATTCTGTGACCGGTCCGTGTAGAACAGACCTGAGTGACCAATTTGATTCCCACATGAAATCAACGAAAAGCAACACATAGAAGTTCCAAACTATATTCAAGTCAAGGAGGCGGAACCAGATCATTCGACATAGACACAGCAACCGAAAAGCATAACCTGGTACATAAACAATAAAGGAGAAGGAGGCCGATGCGCAGTCCAGGAATATTAATATAATTTCTTAACAAAGAACCACACCCAAAGAAGTAGAATTTTTAAAGGTGACGTTTATTTGATGTTATTAAGTGACTTTCTCTTAGATACTGGTGACAACACGAAAACGAGGCCACGGTTGAACAGTGTGTACATTTTTTACGTTAAATTTTTGGGCGGTCAGCCTGCTTGTTTTGTTGAAGACTCATTTTGTCATTTTTTATAATAAATTGGTGTTGTCCGATTGCGGAAAAAGTTTGTCGAATTAGAAAAGCAAGCAGTTGTAATACAGCGAGATCTTTCGTTAAGGTTCCCTTCTTTGAAAAGTTAAAAGTTTCTACCGCCCGAACTGTCACTGAAACTTTGTCAAGCCAGTTATTATAGTAATTACAATTCTACATTTAAAGGTTGTTTTGTTTTGAGGTATCTGGGCGGGTGTTTTGTGGGCGGCGTTGTGTAATAGCCCTACTATTACTATCTCAAGTTTCTAGCTCGATACAAAATAAACCCACATGAATAAAATTACTATATTGAAATAAAAATAAAATAAAACTCCACTGCACCACTCCGCGTGAATATCTGCAAAAAAGTCTTCTAAATTTCTGATAATTTTGTTTTTACATCGCGAGTAAACCAACACCCGGAATTAACACTCTGAACGGTATACCGGAAATAAACAAAATTTTTTTTCCTTGCTGTTTTATTAGTTACTTTACTTTTATTACTTTATTATTAGAATCAATTGCGTCTTTTAACCAGTGACCTTTTTTAAATCACGTACTAATCGTTAACTAACCCAAATAGGAAGTCTAAAACCAACAACTCATCTAAAATTTCAAGATATTTGAAACTTAATGTTTGTTAATTTTAATGAAAACTACAACTTCCCAGAAATCTGAATCATCGATACGCACTTCTACCCGAATATAATTTTGAAATCTACAAAAACTTGAAAAATTTAACAAGCTTCCGTTACAGTACCCCCTTCTTGTTTTTAAAAGCAAGACAAATAGATGAGATTTGAAAAACAACAAATTAAAAATAAACGGAAATTATCCCTAAATTATCTCTAAAAAGAATAACTGACAAAACTAATTTCTACTCTTTAAAATTTTTTTTTTACAATTTCACTTACAAAACCAGATATCTAGTACTCAATCTTAGTTCGACAAAACTTTTCCTAACTCGCCTCGACTTACTAATTCAAATAAAATCACACCTACACTCATGTGTCCTATTTAGTTATGCAAACCGTGTCTTATTTAAAAAATCAAAATATCCTAAGGTAACTCAAAAAATCCTAAAGCTACTCAAATTAATGATCTCTAAAAAACGTAAACCTGAACTTAACCTTCTATCTAAAATATGTTAATGACAAACACCCTAAAAAACTAACCTGTCCAACGAAAAATAAAAAAAATATATACCGTCTACTCTCTTCATTTGTTCATGTACAATGTGATATATTATCTTCTTTTTTTCTTCCTCTTTTTCCAATTTCGAATACTCATTCCTCTTATTCTTTGAGCTTGTTCTCCTTCAATTGATTCCTTCTTGGTATTCTTCACAGTTTTCTTCAAATCTCTTTCTTCGTAAGTATCCTCAAATCTTCTTGTACTGCTAAATTCTTTCTTTAATGCAGAACTTCTCTCCAACGCCGCTCCTAAATTCTCCCTGACCTTGTCATATAATGCCTGGTAGTGCTCCACTACCCTTTCCAGTGCTTCCAACATTTCACGCTGCTTTTCCTTTTCCTCTAATCTAACATCAGGGGCTAACTTCTTCTCGGCTAATTCTAACTTCTCTTGAATGATTGCAATTTCCTCTTCTCGTAATTTAAGTTGATCTTCTTTAGGCCGTAGTTGTCGTTTTGATTTTAGGGATATTTCTTGTAGCGAAGATGCTTCCCTTTGATCTTTTACATGTTTTTCTAAAATAATGCTTTCTTGCCGGTCCTTTTTCTTCTCCATACTCTCTTGTAAGTCTCTCTGGAACATCAAGTTTGAACCTTGCGTTGAAATTAAATCTTCTTGTGCTTTAGCTACCTCTTGTTAAAATTCTTCTGCTCTATCGGCTACTTCTTCTAGTGTTCTCTGCTCGGCACTGATTCCTTTAATTTGCTCTTCTACACCCTCCACATTCTCTAAAATCCTTTGTAGATAAATGCAATCTTCTTGTTCGTCCTCGTCACTAAATTCGGATTGGAGGCTCTCCCTGACTCCTCTTTCATCTTCTTCAATTTCTTCTTTAACTTGTTGCAATTGCTCAATTCTACTAAATCTACTTAAATTTTCTTCTTTTCTAACATACATTTCTTGCTTTTCTTCAATTTTTACTTGTGCTACTTCTACTCTCTTATCGTCTCTGACTTCTTCTATTTCTATTCTTCTTATTTTAAATTTTTGGTAATAATTTTTTACAAAGTTAATCAATTGGTTTTGCTCCGGGGTTCTTTGTGTCTTCCGAGGGACTAGTGCAGCTCCCGGCCCCTGCCTCGGTAGTTTCCCTGATCCTAATTGTCAAATGAATCCGACCCCCTCCATTCTCTTTGTGGTCTACCATTATATATTTTATTTCAGTTAAGAGTAGGTTTCTGTTCGCTTTAGGAAGGTTGTAATATTGTTCTATTTATCTCATTATTTAATAGTATTTAATAGTTTTAATCAGCTTTTTAGAATTAGCAGCGCTGTTGTAAGTTCTACAGAGGAAATAAAGAGGTTTTGGATTGCAGAAAGAGGCCTATATTGAAAATGGATAAATTTTCCAAAACATATTATTTGACAATAATTTTTTCAAATTTTGCTAAAGAATTTCGAATAATAAATGAGATAGCAGTGAAAGAGAATTGAACTAAATTCTAAACCACTTTTACCTGAGCTAACTTGAAAGTAAAGGCACGGAAGGTAAATCCCAACTACAAAAGAGCACAACAAAGACAATGGGGAGAAGAATTTTATACATCAAACCTGAGAATATCGTCTAACTTTCCAAGTTCCATTATAATAGATGCTTCATTGCAGTTGATTGAATTGATTGTACTTTGGTTTTCCATTTAGCTTTATATCCCGAACGCTTTGGTTGACAATGAGTTTTATTTTATATTTCTGGTTACTTGAATACTCTCAAAACGCTTCCTGATTTTCCGTGTGAACACGTATAATCATTCAAGTTTCTCGTTATTTTCACGTGGATTAATTGCGTCAGAATATCCATGTCTTTGGTATTGTACCCAGGTTCGTTTGTAAGGGGCCACGTTGTTGTTTTTTTGTATGAAAACGTTACACTGTGTTTGGAACAATGGAATGCTGATTGTGAATGTAACTGCAAACGCTATAAATACAAGTCACAGAAATGGCATATGCATTTATGTATTCTTGACAAAATTCCCAAGTGCTCCGCTAAACATACGAAGCAATTCATCTTTTAAATTTACTGCTACCATTCTCCCTAAGGATGCCATTGTTGCAACTTGTAAGGTTCCTTAAGGATATGACTACATTCAATATTAATGAGATAAATAACTGCTGTAGATTTTACATGCAATGATAGATAAAATCTAATTATTCAAACTGCGGCATTAGTTATTGGTTATTTGAATTTACGTGGATTGATTGTTCGGATTCGGGTGAATATTTATTTAACTCTTCGGATCAATTCCGGGTGGGCGAATAACTCGACTCTTACTATGAACATTCTCGGTAGCAAATTTTTTTTTCCTTCACCATGTGTTTTGTCCGTCTGTTCCTCGTCTAACTCGAGAACGAAAAGAGACAACGACCTTCGCCAATCGATTTCTACGA